AGGGGAGAGGGCGGGGAAAGAAACGTCAACTCCCCCCAACCCCCCAGCCTCCTTTTCTTTCTCGCCTTCCTGCAAAAGCCGCACGAGTCTTCCATCCCCCCTCGGCCATCCTCACAGCTCTGGGCAACCGCCAGGTTAAGCCCATTTGCACTGGGAAATTGGCGCTGTTTGGGAGAAGAGAAACAGATCGATTGCCCTTGTGACTCTCCGCCCCTCTCCCACCCCACCCTACCCTTACCGCTCCCTCCCTCCCTCCCCCGCCACCCCCCTCACCCCGCCTCCTTCCCTCTCCCCACCCCCAAACCCTCTCACCCGCGGCAGTCCGGTGCGGGGGCCCCCTCCGGAAGGTGAAGGGGATGGATTGGACTCCGCTGGGGAAAGCGGGTGTCTAGAAGTGGTGCTAATGGGAAGAGATTTCTGGTTTCAAAAGAGGATGCTCTGCCACAAAGAGCGGCTTGCGCGCTGGCCTGGGCTCTAGCCGAGGAGAGATCCCGGGAGAACTCCAGAGCTCGCGGGGAGCGCTCCTCGGAAGACCGGGGCCAACATGCCTGTTCGCAGGGGGCATGTGGCACCACAAAACACATTTTTGGGGACCATCATACGGAAATTTGAAGGGCAAAGTAAGTTCATTTGTTCTCTTCTCTCTCCCTCGCTTTCTGCTTTGACGGTGCACTTGGCGTTCGCAGCGTACAGGCTGAGGAGCCGGCAACTCCGGGCTCTTGCAAGTTATACAAGCTGTGAAACCAAGCCAGGAGGTTCGAAGACAGCAGGAGTGTTCTCCCCCAGATATTAATTCTGATTTACATTTTAGATTATGGTCTCCATTATAGGAGGCAATTTGATCCTCCTCTCCCACTGTTCCATTATCTGCCTTGCTACTTAATGTCCTACTCTTCTACTATCTTAAAGGGAACGTACTAGTATAACATGGGTTTATATTTTGAGGCTGTTTAATTGTACACTTTTTGAAAGTCAGGAGTAGAGCCGAGCATACCACTGGAACAAGAGAATGTAAATGGTAGCAGCGATGTAAACGGCTATGCAAACTATATTATTACCTTGGTTAAATTGCAAAGCTGTGGTATGACAGGGTTGCTTGCTTGCTGTTAATTTATAGAAGCTAAACTTTGCATTGAATCAATGCAAATATATCCCAAGAAGGATAATTTGGAAAAAGCGATATCTGATCCGTACTAGTTCCCAATGCAAATGGTTCATTATTCAAAGCAATATTTCTGCCTCTTTATCATTTCCTTAAATTTCCATCAAGAAATTTGAAAATTGAAATGTAGTAAGTAGATCCCACAACTGAATGCAGAGAAATTTAACATTCTCATGTGGACTAACTATAAGGAATGAATTATTGTTATATAAATATATTAATTTTAAATCCTTGTTAATTTATGTTCAACATTTCCTTAAAACTACATTAACACGAAGTTATATTGTACGTTTTGCAGTTATTTTGGCTGTATTCACTGCATTTAGTGACACGAGGATATAGTACCTTGTGTACAAAATAAACTAGTATATCCTGTTCACATTCTATATGGAAATAGTAAATATAATTTATAATTAAAATTTAATAAGCCCTTTGTATTAAAATACCTACTACTACACAAGAATTCAAGGTTCTCCCAAAGTAAAAGTGAAAAGGTGTTAACTCGATAACTGTGTAAATATTTTTATCTTCTAGAAAATATGTATTATGAAAGGTGAATCTTTGAATTATTGAACTGTTAATTAATGTGAGATAGTTTTATTGCTAATAGTTTCATGTTTTGTTTTGTTTTTTAACATGATGAGTGTGTAGTATGCCTTAGAGGGATAGAGAAAAGCCAAATCCAAAAATAATAGCTACTTTGAGAAAGTTGTAATTTAACCCCAAGGTTGAGGTGAGAAATCTGTCAGCTACAGGATGTTTCATTGTTTGGCTTTGAAAATATTTATCTTACAATTAAATGGCATTCTGGAAATATCATTGGGACAGCTGCTTGTTTGAGTGTGCCTTAGGACCCTTGGGAGTCACAAGGCTTGAGAACTAGACTATTTGGGAAATTACATTCTCAAAATTTGAAAAGTAGTTCCTTAACACTGTTAAAACTGCTTAGGACCATTAGTTTCATATTTAGGGTTTTTGTTTTTTTCCTTTTAAAACCCTGGGCAGGGGCGCCTGGGTGGTTCAGTCGTTACGCATCTGCCTTCGGCTCAGGTCATGCATGATCCCAGGGTCCTGGGATCGAGTCCTGCATCGCATCGGGCTCCCTGCTCGGCAGGGAGCCTGCTTCTCCCTCTCCCACTCCCCCTGCTTGTGTTCCCTTTCTCACTCTCTCTCTCTGTCACATAAATAAATAAAATCTTTAAAAAAATAATAATAATAAAAAAATAAAACCCTGGGCAGTTAGCAATTTGGGAAGCACCTGCATTTTAGATCTCCTATTATGCAACAATTTGCTCCAGTGTTTATGAAAATCTTGTGGAAGCTCTCTAAAAGATGTCTTACCATATTCTTATTACAGATAAAAAATTTATCATTGCAAATGCCAGAGTGCAAAACTGTGCCATCATCTACTGCAATGATGGGTTCTGCGAGATGACTGGTTTCTCCAGGCCAGATGTCATGCAAAAGCCATGCACCTGCGACTTTCTCCATGGGCCTGAGACCAAGAGGCATGATATTGCCCAAATTGCCCAGGCATTGCTGGGGTCAGAGGAGAGGAAAGTGGAGGTCACCTACTATCACAAAAATGGTAATGTTCATCTATTTAGAATTCCTTTTATTTGATTCCATTGAATTGAAATTTTGACAACTGATTACTAAAAGTTCATATGCAGAGAAGCTCCAAATATTCAGTTGTAGGTATTTTTGCTTATATATTTTATATATTTTAGGATTCAAAAATATGGGCAGTGTCATTAGTGGACTAGTAGGAACAATTTCTTCTTTGAATAAGGGTACTCTGTAGTCTTCAAAAGTGTAGTAACTTACTATCACTGAGGACAAAGTGCCACAAATCAGTCTACTCTCTCCCCTTTCTAGGGAATAATATAAAGGCCAATAATTTACTGATTGCACTGATATGTATTTGGTAAGAGAGAAATATAGAGTTTTATCTGCTTGAACTTGAAAATATTTCACAGAGAAAATCTTGTTGAAAACTGTATATCTGCAACTAAAACTATTGCAGTTATAAATGTTTCTTGGCTTTTCAGCTTTATTTGATAAAAGCTTTAAAGCTTTATTTGCAACACCTCTTGTTTCTTTTGCTCCTTTTTATACAACATTAAGGGTGATATATAAGAACTTCAAAAATTGGTCTAGTAAGCTTATGTATATTCAGATAATAAAAGCTGTTCATGTATTAAAGATTTGTCCTAAAATAAGAAATGGACAAAAGGAACTATGATACTGTGGAGTTATTTGTACTCATTTTTCGGCTGCAACAAAACTGGCGTCTCAAACTTAAGGTCGTACTTCAACTTCAAGGGCACTCTTCCTTCTTTCAGGCTTACTATGGGAACATAATATGTTAGACCTATGATAGTTCTCAAAAAATACTCATTTAATAGACATACACTCATTAAATATACCATTTTTGCATATTAACTCACATGTATGAATATTCACATATACCCATTTAAAAGAATACATATTCTCAAATGTGCACACTTACTGATATTTGACAATTTAGTGCTAAAAGATAAATCAGCTAAAAACGCATGTTGTAGTTAGTTTTATTGATGTTGCCTGGTCATTTTTTTTTTTGCCATTGACAAATCAGTGATATTATCTGATATCTAGTCAGATTCTCAGGAAACCCTTAGTCTTGCAAATGAGAAAATGAGTGATGTGTTATAGCTTATATCATATACTGATTCATCATTTGATAAAATACACGGCAGAAATTCTAGCATGGAAAAGGTTTAACTCTTCCTCTTATTTTCTTACAATTAAATATTTTATGATAGAAAATGTAATTCTTAATTACTAGATTTTCCTTAACATCAACTTGAATTAGTATACGTGGCAAACTGTGATTAGAAAAACAGGTTTGTATAACTTTGGAGTAATCTGGAATGAAAACAATTATATCATTATCAGCCAACATAGAGATTGTTTTTCAAGTTCTTCTTATCCTGCCCCCCCACACCACTTTTCAATCAGTAGTGTTGGCTTTCTAGAAATAGCCTAATTGCTCTGTTGTCTTGAAAGCATTTCTTGGACTAAGGTTCTCACTACCCAAAGGCAACTCATCTTTTCTGTAAGTGTATCTGATGCCAACCATTTGGGCTTTGGAATAATTTGAATGTCTGACATTTTTTCCCCATCTGAATATTTATCATGATGTTGACACAGTTTACATTGTGGTTATACCGGGCATATTGATCCACATTTGGTCATTATGTTTTTTGGGACATTTCAGGATTTTTTTTAACTTACAGAATTTAAGTATAAAATGAATCTGGACTGTTAGGATCACTTAGATACTCTCCATATTTTTCAGACAATATTCTGAAATGGAAGTTGTTATTTATTATACTGCAAGTAGAATGATGTTATTTCAAAACCTTGTGTGACTTGCGCAATGTGAGTGTGTAAAGTTATCTCAAAACACCTAAGAAAGGCAAGTAAATGTGGGATCACAAATGTGAATGTAAAAGTTTCTACAGTGAAGATGCTGATACATTGATTAATGCACATCTTTCTACGTGAGGGATGCACTTGATTATATGAATTAAAACCTTCTTGTTTTAGACGAGGATTTACTTGAAAGCTTGTTTAGGTATATAAATATCAGCCTTTGGTGATGATTTTGATTCTGTTGGCTTTATTTTCAGATTTGACTCAGTCTACAAGGACTTGGTAATCTTTAGAGCTAATGACAAATGCTGCCTATTTCACTTTTATTAATATGGGATACATGAGATGATGGGGTGATGGGCTAAGCTTTTTTTTTTCTTTTTCCAAAGAGAAAGATTTATTTTATGACCTTTTTAGATTGCAAAGACACAGTCAGACTTATTTGCTTTGAATGTAATCAACCTGTTTTTGAGACTAGTTCAGATACCTTGAATAGAATCTTCAAAGTGCATTGGTTTTATTCACATGGCAACTGCAAATTCAGTCAGAGCTTGTGAAGTTCAAATGCTTTGATAGTCTTGCCTCCTAGAGACCTGCCAACCACTCTATATTTATAAAAGCAGGAAGGGATAAAATCGCCAACATTTTGTATTGGTTTGTTTCTCAGTCTCCTTAATTCTTTATTATTGAGGTCATTTACTTTGGGGAAGTTCTTGGTTTCTTAAGTATGTACAGTAAATGCTTCCTTTATTTATTTTCTATTTAGCACTTTATAGGAGTACAGATGGGAATGTAATAAGCACAATGAGCAACTTAACAAAAAGTTGAGATATTGTTGCCACTTTTTCCATTCACTCATGCTGGTGTAGCAAAAACATGAGCATGGTATTATTTCTGAAAGCTTGTTTTTCAGACTGGCCAGAGGCTTTATGTTTAAACCCATGATTTATGTAATGAGTTCAAATAGATGAGCTACATGATCACTCTTAGGAAGCAACACTTCCTACCATCCTACTCTATGTGATTTTACCAGGTACAATTGAACTTGCTGTTTACCAGAATATCAATTTTTAAAAACCTAGTTATTTGCAGTAGGAATATTTGACAGCCCTTCCTTTGAGGATTCTATTTTACAGTTTAAGTCATTATTTCATAAATCATTCTTGGCAGCTGTGAAATATTGCTTGAGGTGATAAAGCTGTAAATCTTTTGACATAAAGCTCTAATTATACAAAACTATAATTACACTGAGCCTTATACAAGGATGGGTATGTATTTTAATAATATAATACATTCACTTTAAGCACAACTTTTTAGGAGCACCTGGCTGGCTCAGTCAGTAGAGCATGTGGCTCTTGGGCTTGGGGTTGTGAGTTCAAGCCCCATATTGGGCATAGAGCTTACTGAGAAAATAAAAACAATTCTTTTAACATTAGATTGGATTGAGGAATAACAAACACTTCAGTTATTAAACTAGATCGTAGTTTGAAGCTGATCCTAATACTAAGGAAACAGAGAAGTCGGTCATCTTTCAGTTTATTGCTTGTCAGGTTTGGAGTGTGTCCTGGAATAGAGCTAGCAGTTGAAGTGCTTATCCACTTCAGGCATACGTAGACATGTGATTTTTATCTTAAATTATCAAGCAACTCTAAACATTTGGAAAATAAAAGTAAGTTTCTCCAAAAGAAATAAAGGTCTTAACTCAGTAGGAAAACAGGACATATACAATGCTTTATTTTTAGAGGTAGGAGCATTCTTATATTTTTGCCATTATGCTCTCAGACATGGTACAATGGCGATTTCATTAACAAATCAGAAATGTCCCTATCTTTGCCTTGCTTTCAAAGAACTAAAGGATGAGAGGAGGCCGAGGGAAGTCCTTTCTTGATCCAGACAGGGACCAGATCCAGACAGGGCACCAGTCATGTTGGGACAAAGTTCCAGAGGCAGTGTTTGAGTCGGCTAAACTCCAAAGAGGTTTTGGTTTGATAACATTAAATCTACCATCTCTGAGAGTTTTTTGGAAAGAATTGATAGAAAGTGTTACGTTGTTGGAAGTAGAGGTGAAGGTGTGTACCGAGTGCCACCACCTCTCTTTAAGGTAATGTTTTAGGCACTAGAGGAACATCCTACTGGAGGAGATGCAGAAGAAGACAAACTCATTTCTGCTTTCAGAATATTTGTAATATGGAGTGACTAAGGTTCACTTCTATCTTCTAAACCCCAAGATGTTTTCATGAAATTGTTTTTAAAGGAAAAAGAATAGACTAAGAAATTAAGAAGCTTTTATATAAACAGAGAACAGAATTTAGGATTAATCGCCACTCTTTCTCTATCTCCCCACTATAAAATAAACTTGTGTTTGTGTACTTCCTGTCTCCTTTTGTTATTTATATGTAATAACTAACTTATTAAAGGGAGCAATGTAGTTTACTTAAAACTTTAATAGCTCAAAAATAAATCCTATAATAGTTCTATGTAAGTTATATGACATGTAAAATATTTGACCTTCATAATTTCTGAATTGTGTAGTAGAGATACAGATGGCAGTTTTTAGAGAAGAATGGAAATATATTCTATGTATGTGTAATTCAAGCAATAAGAAAAATTTTCAGGGAGTATCTTGCCTAGAATTTATTTTGGTGTTCATTTTAACTTTTTGTTTATACATTCTCATGTTTCATCCACCAGAGTACTGTAACAGTAATCTTAAAATATTGTCTTTCATATACCTAAACTTTGTAACATCTCATGGACTCTGGATATTATATACTCTTAAATTTGATCACCGTGTTTATTGAGAAACTAAGATTTCTCTAGAAACATTTTCTTCAAAATTTGAAAACTTTATTTTACTATTATCCCAAATGAAAACAAAGTGTCCCAAAACTGTAGTTGGGCTATGCTCATCAGTCCCCTTTTTACCACCCACCAGCACCATACCTCTTGCAGCTCTGGTGCTAAAAAGAAGCTGCATTGTCTGCAGGCTTCAGAGATAACTGCTCAGTTATTTTCACACCCAAGGGACTTGAGAACAGGGTCAGTTTAGGACGATAGGGATAGGCTAGCCTTCGTGGGAGGAACTGACTTCTCTGGCTTCTAATGGCTTTCAACATTGTTTTTATTTTTATTTTTTCACTATAAATAGTCACTAAATCAATTACTGGC